GTTTTCCTCTGTGGGGAGATTTCCTCAACTTTATTTTCTGAATCTTCTATGGAGGCTTTGTTGTTGAAGATTTTGTTGTTGTTGTTGTTTGTTTGTTTTTTTAAATATCTGCTATCATGTTCTTAAAGTGCAAGAGCTCTTTTTTTCCCCATGTATGTAATGTGTTCCCTTATCTTTCTGAAACTGTATTTTTGTATTTGTTGTTAATGTATTTTTCTTGTTAATGTATTTTTCAGGGTTTTTCTTCTTTCATCAACTGTTTCTTCCAGATTTTTTTTTCCAGTTTATTTGTTTGGTTGTCTTTCATGTTAGATGATTTTCTCAGGTGTCTGATGATCCTTGGTTGCACATAATGAACTAAAATGCAGGTGAGAAGCTCTGAGTTTGGTATTGACCATAGACTTCATGTCTGGTGGCTTGGAGGGCAGTGTTATGGAACAGTACGTTTAGGGATTTCCTTTTGGGCTGGTTATCTGGTAGGAAAGAAGGAGGGAAGACTCAGCAGGGTTCTTGGTCTTTGATAAACTGCCACTTAAATGTTATTTTTACTAGATAGGCTAGGGTTAGGGTTTGGGTATATGGCTGTTCACAGACCTACCCAGAGAATAAAACCCCAGGCTTCTGCTTGACATGGCAGCCGTCTACCAATCTGAGGCAAGGAGGGGATGGGGGCTCTAAATACTCTTTAAACAGATATTCAGTTGGTCCTTCTGTTTATAACACTACCTTCACTCATTTTCAGAAATACTGTCAATTCTTAAATGTTTGGGGTCTTTCCCAGGATAATTAGGCTGCTTCTCAGGTTTTCATCTCTTATGTTCAGGAAGCTACTTTCTTAGATCTAGGGTTAGAGTTAAGGTTAGGGTTAGGATATGTGCCTGGTGCCTGCAATTCAGACATCTCTCCAGAGGGGTAAGGTTAGTGTTAGAGTTAGGGTTGTGGTTAGGTTAGAAGTTAGGTGTTAGGGGTTGTATGTTAGTGATTAGGGTTAGTGTTAAGGTCAGGGGTAGAGTTAGTGTTCAGGTATGTTCCTGGTGTTTTGCGGTCCAGAGGGTCCTTAGGGTAGGGTTTGTGTTAGAGTTAGGGTTAGGGTTCAAGGTTAAGAGCTAAAGGTTATGGGTTGGGGATAGAGGTTTGGGTATGTGCTTGGTATCCTACAGTCCCCAGGCTTCTCCAGAGAATAAAACCCTAGGCTTCTGGTGGCTTGTGAATTGACATGGCAGCCATCTACCAATTTGAGGCAAGAAGAGTTAGGGCTCTGAATACTCTTAAATAGATATTCAGTTGGTTCTTTTGTTTTTAATCTGTATCTTCACACTTGTTTTCTGAAAATACTGCCAAATTTTAAATGTTTGGGGTCTTCTCGAGGATAAGTAGGCTGGTTCTCAGCTTTTCTTATCGATTGTTTAGGAAGCAAGTTTCTCAGATCTAGGTTTAAGATTAGGGAGGGGGCTAGGGTCATGGTTAGGGTTAGGGTATGTGCCTGGTATTCTGCAGTTCAGAGACCTCTTCAGATGGTTAGAGTTTGGGTTAGTGTTAGAGCACGGGTTTGGGTTTGAGGTTAGGTGTTAGGGGATTGGGTGTAGGGGTTTGGGTATGTCTCTAATGTCCTGCAGTTCAGAGACCTCTCCAAAGTATGAATTCCCAGAGTTTTCCTGAGGTTACAATAGATGTTGTAGACATCTATGAATCTGAGACAAAGAGGGGATTTGGTGCTCTAACTGCTCCCTAAGTAGATATTCAGTTGGTTTTTCTGTCTTTATCACTACCTTCATACCCATTTTCAGAAATACTGCCAATTCTTAAATATTTGGGGTCTTCTCACAGAGAAATAGGCTGCTTCTCAGCTTTCTGACCGTGTATTCAAAAGCCGCTTTCTCAGATCTAGGGTTAGGGTTAGGGTAGGAGTCAGGATTAGTGTTAGTGTTAGGCTTAGGTGTTGTAGGTTGCCAGTTAGTGGTTAAGATTGGGGTTAGGGTTAGAGTTAGTGTTAGGTTATGTTTCTGGTGTCCTGCAGTTCAGAGACCTCTCCAGGGAGTTAGTGTTGGGGTTAATGTTAGGGTGAATGTTAGTATCAGGATTTGAGCTTAGAAGGACTGGTTATTGGTTATTGGTTAGGGCTTTGGATATGTGCCTGGTATCCTGAACTTTGAAGAATTCTCCAGACATTAAATCCCCAGACTTCTGCTGGTGTGAGAATAGACATGGCATCCATGGAGCTGAGGCAAGGAGGGAATTTGGGGCTCTAACGCCTCTTACATAGATATTCAATTGGTCCTTCTATTTTTCTCTCTACCTGCACACCTATTTTCACATATAATACCAATTCTTAAATGTTGTCTTCTCCAGGAACTAGGCTTCTTTTCAGCTTTCCTTACTGGGTGTTCATCAAGCCACCTTCTCAGATCTAGGCTAGTTAACTTCCATCCATCCTACTACTTCTCTAAGTTACATAATTCTTTTCCTCTGTTTTCTCTCTCATCCCGAAGTCAAAGGTTTATGACTTTAGAAAACTTAGTTTTTTGCCCATTCTAATGGGGTATTGGAGGAAGTGAAAATCTATTAACTTTCCTGAAAATTCTTCTCCATTCTTAGTCAAAAATATTTCATCTTATATACATATATACTCAGTCCTATTTTGTGATTGAAGATATGCTTATTTGAAGACTCAGTGTTTGCCATTTGTTATCATATGTTCAGATTTTCCCATGTAATGGATAGGTGCTCTGTTAACTTGAAAGCAAAATATCATTTGCTTGACAAAATGTTGGAATGCCATCCAGAGATTTCTCATGGAAACTTTGCCACCCTCCTTCTTCCCACTTGAGTAGTATTTGTATGAAGGAGCACTGGGCTCCAATCCTGACTCTTCCACTTATTAGCTCTATGAACTTGGGAAACTTTATTATTTTGGTCCTCGGTTTCTTCATTTATAAAATTGGGACTTACAGTACTTTTGTATATTTATGTAAAATCACAAAACCGTACTGCCTAGCTCATCGTGAATGCTCACTGAGTGTCTGTTGAATCATCAGTCTGAAAATATTGTAAACTATTCTAACACTGACACTGTATTGATTTAAAGAGAATCAGCTATTTTAACCTGGAGAATGTTTTATAATTTTTTCTTAATAGGTCTAAAATTTAGCTGAAATGTTTTTCATTTATAAAAATTTAAATATGGGGGCGCCTGGGTGGCTCAGTGGGTTAGGCCTCTGCCTTCCGCTCGGGTCATGATCTCAGGGTCCTGGGATCGAGCCCCGCATCGGTGAGCCTGCTTCCTCCTCTCTCTGCCTGCCTCTCTGCCTACTTGTGATCTCTCTCTCTCTGTCAAATAAATAAATAAAATCTTAAAAAAAAAAATTTAAATATGTTCTCAAATAGCAAAACAAGATAACTTTAAAGAGTTTATTTATTCACTCATTTTAAAGAGGTACTAGTAAGAACTTTGTAAGCTTAACTAATTGTGCTGACATAATATCTCTTTTATCAGGACTGATACAATTAGTTTTGAGGTAAATTAGCTTACCAGTTCAGTGCAATTGTGATAAGGATTAGAAAAATTAAATTCTACCTAGTGAGTCTTTAGTTATGGTTTTGTAGATATGAAAGTGTTAATATTTCTTTTTTTTTAAATTTTTTTTAAGATTTTATTTATTTATTTGACAGAGATCACAAGTAGGCAGAGAGGGAGTCAGAGAGAGAGGGGGAAGCAAGCTCCCTGCTGAGCAGAGAGCCCGATACGGGGTCAATCCCAGGATGCTGGGATCAAGACCTGAGCCGAAGGCAGAGGTTTTAACCCACTGAGACACCCAGGCGCCCCAAAGTGTTAATATTTCTAATAAGCCATGATTTTAATATCGTTTATATTTACTTTTTTCTCCCTGCCTTTTTTCTCCCCCAAGGGAAAGAGTTGCTTCAGATCAGAAGCTCATTTTTTTAATTTAATAGATTGCAGTAAACTGGCAAATGATTTACCTATATCTAGGCTCATCTTACCTTAGTCTATAGTCTGTCCTACACTCTGTTCAATATAAGTGAATGTTTCTGGAATGGAAATTTTAGAATTGCCCCTCTGCTCCTTAAAATTCTTCAGTGACTTCCATTGGTCTAAATCTTTAAGGGTGGCATTCAGGACTTTGATGATCTGGCCCTCATCTGCCTTTCAGATGTTATCAAAGGCCAGTCCTTCATCCCAAGCTTTAATCAAATCTCTAACTCCTTCAAGTTTTGTGATCTCAGTATATGTCAGACTTCTACTTAAAACCTACTTATCATTCGTGTTAGGAAGATTGAAGCCCTCCTTTGCCCTGTGACAGTATTTTTCAGTTATTTTATCATTGATTATCTAAGTACCCAAATCCCCTGACTAGATGTGAGTAGCTTGGAGTTGTAGTGATTTTTATTTTCGACTTTTTTTTTTTTCCACTATGGTTGCCTTACATTTAAAGTTTGTTGATGAGGGGTGATTGTTTATTTTTGGCAAATTTTAAACATTTTGTTTTCTAAAATAGAAATTGTCATAATTTTACATAAATAAAATTGGGCAGACTCCAATTCAAATAATAAATATGTTTTATAGCCTTCAGCTTGGAAACCTGCAGAATTATGATCGCCATGTTGGATGTATCCTTGAATAAAAATAGAAAATATTAGAATACGGAATAATTGCTTTCTGAATATAACCAAGCAATTGTTGGCTATAAATGGCCATAGTAAATTGGAGATTTTAAAAATACTTTGTAAGATCCTGTTTGAATTCCATACTTTTCCATTTTTACGCAATCTATTCATATGCTAAATTTGGTGAACTTGCAGAAGCATACTAACAATGTTTTAGTCGATGATTTGCAGTTTCAGGCCAAGTAAATTCTCTTTGGTATCAAAACTTATTTTTATTGATAAAATTATCAGAGAGATTACACAGGAAAAATGGGATTTAATGAATTCAAGGAACTCTGGGCAGCTCTTAATGCTTGGAAGCAAAACTTCATAACTATTGATCAAGACCAGAGTGGCACAGTGGAACACCATGAATTGAATCAAGCCATTGCTGCTATGGGTAAGAATATTAAAATTATTTAGAATATATTCAGATCATCATTGTTCTTTGATGAGATGAATTTTAATTGTTAAGATTTATTAAGTAATAAAGAAGTATATTATTTCACCAGCTGGTGCCCAATTTGAAGACCTTTAACAAAACCATTTTATCTATGATTTTTCCAAAAGATGATCATTTATACATGCTGGTTGATAAAATAATTTCTGAATTTCCTCTGTTAAGTATATTAAAATTTATTCCCCTAATTATTGGTATTTACCATTTATATTCTATCTTTTGTAACTTGGTAGGCTCTCTAATAGTTAGTTATTTAGCTATTTAGCTATTTTTTTTTTACCAAATTTTTTGAAATATAATTAATATGCAGTGTTATATTAGTCTCAGGTGTGCAACACTTCTATACATATCCATAGCAGGTGTGCAGCCATTCTGTACATTACTCAGTGCTTACCACAAGTATATTTACCATCTGTCATCATATAGTATATATTATGATCTTATTGATTGTATTCCTCATGCTGTATTTTTATTTCTGACTTAATTATTTTTTATTTTTTTAATTTCAATTTAAATTTTTTTTTTAAAGATTTTGTTCATTTATTTGAGAGAGAGAAAGACAGAGAGACAGAGAAAGAGAGAGCATGAGCCAGGTGGGGAGCAGCAGAGGCAAAGGGAGAAGCAGGCTCACCACCAAACATGGAGCCCAACGTGGGACTTGGTCCCAGGACCCTGAGATCATGACCTGAGCTGAAGACAGATGCTTAACTGTCTGAGCCACCCAGATGCCCTGACTTAATTATTTTTTAACTAGAAGTTTGTACCTCTTAATCTCCCTTCTGGCAACCATTAGTTTGTTCTCTGCATTTAAGAGTCTTTTTTTGTTTGTTTGTTTGTCCCTTTTTTCTTTGTTTATTTCTTCAGTTCCATATATGAGTGAAATCATATGTCTTTCTTTGACTTATTTCCCTTATCATAATACCCTATATAAGCACATCCATATTGTTGCAAATAGCAAGATCTCATTTTTTTTATGGCTGAGTAATAGTTTGTGTGTGTGTGTGTGTGTGTGTGTGTATAATATCACATCATTTTTTTATCCATTTATCTGTTGATGGACACTTTGGTTGCTTCCATAATTTGACTATCATAAATAGTGCTGCAATAAACATAGGACTGCATGTATCTTTTTGAATTAGTGTCTTCCTTTTCTTTGGGTAGATATCCAGTAATGGAATTACTGGATCATAGGGTAATTCTATTTTTTTAATTTTTTGAGGAACTCCATACTGTTTCCACAGTGGCTGTACCAGTTTACATTCCTGCCAACACTGCAGAAAGGTTTCTTTTTCTTCACTTCCTCACCAATACTTATTAGTCTTTGTCTTTTTGATTCTGGCCATCCTGACAGAAGTAAGGGGGTATCTCATTGTGGTTTTGATTTGAATTTCCCTGATGATGAGTGATGTTGAACATCTTTTTGTGTGTCTCTTGGCCAACTGTCTTTTTTGGAAATATGTCTGTTTGGGTCCTCTGCCCATATTTAATTGGATTATTTGGAGTTTTTTGTGTTGAAGATATTTAACTAGACATTGGAGTAATAATTTTTCAATATATACAGCTATGGAATCATCATATTGTACATTTGAAACTAATTTTATATGCCAATCATACTTCCATGAAAAATTTTTAAAAAAGGAAATACAGGGGGTGCCTGGGTGGCTCAGTGGGTTAATCCGCTGCCTTTGGCTCGGGTCATGATCTCAGGGTCCTGGGATCGAGTCCCGCATCGGGCTCTCTGCTCAGCAGGGAACCTGTTTCCCTCTCTCTCTCTCTGCCTGCCTCTCTGCTACTTGTGATCTCTCTCTGTCATATAAATAAATGAAATCTTAAAAAAAAAAAAAGGAAATACAGAATTTGAATGGTAGCAAAGATTTACTAACAATCTTTGCTTTGATATTCTTTAAAGAACTATAAAATTACAGAATTGAAATACTGAAGCATTAAAATCTATAAAATACTCTGGACATTATTTAAAAATCAAAATATATTTTAAAAACACACAAAAAAATTATTTGTTTTCTTAGTGTTGTCTTCATTAGAAAGCTAGAATTGTGATCTTTATACCAGTTTCTTACTTTATTAGTAATAAACCTTTGGTAAATTTCAATGTGAATATGTTTTGTTTCTAGTATATATTTTTATGGCTTGAATTTTGAAAATTTATTTTATGATTGTTTTTAAAGAAAACGCAATATTGTGGTGTTCTTATGGTGTTTGGTTTTAGAAGTTTTAATGTATAATTTCCTTTTTCTAGGTTATAGGTTGAGTCCTCAAACACTAACTGCTATTGTCAAACGGTACAGCAAGAATGGCCGAATCTTCTTTGATGATTATGTTGCTTGCTGTGTGAAGCTTCGAGCATTGACAGGTATTTTGATCATTTAAAAGTGGGTGCAATATTATGTAGCTATTTTTCTGAATAGTATCTCTCATTTTCTTCTGCAAGTTTGTAATATATGTATTTTTCACCTTTATTCACCATTTAAATCTAATCACTTTTAAGGCTTTAAAAATTTAGTAATATGAAGAGTGGAAAATTGTTACGGTTCAGTTTTGGAAAGTTTTCTTCATGTCTCAGTTGCCCAGGATATGAAATCACTTGATTTAATTGGGAATGAAAAGAGAGAGAGGGAAGCTGACAGTGGAGTAGGAAAACCGTAGGTTTGTCTCTTCTCACAAACACAGCTAGCTAACTATCAAGTCATCCTAAATACCTCAGAAACTGACCTGAAGATTGATAGAACAAACTCCACAACAAAAGGGAGAGAACAGGTTCCATCAAAGAAGGTGGGAAGAGCAGAGATGTGGTTTAGGGGAGAAATGGATCACGAGTGTGCAGAGAGGAGTAATCCATGGTCACAGAGAAGGGCAATAAGAGAAAGGAACATCCAGGAACACACAAGAACATTTCTCCAAAGGCTTTTGTTTGGAAAATGGGAGGGGCTCAGTTTTTTGAGTTCTTGCAATCAGTGGGGCTTAAAACCTGGAATTTTAAAGGTTAGCGTGCTTGGCTAGGAGAGAGCCCAGAGGGCACTGCACTGCTTTTGGAGAGTAGGCAGGCAAACAACCAGGGGACAGATGATGTGGAAGGAATGATCTGAAGAATGCTTAGAGCACACTGAGGAAAGTATTCACTCTTCTTAGAGCATGTCCCTGCGAGGCAGAGTTCCTGGAGACACCTGTCCAGGAACAAAGGAGCTGATTCATGTCGTTTCCCTCTCCTGCCCATTAGCCTAAACACAGAGCCATCTGTGGGAACCAGTGCAACACAGACGCTGGCTCCCTAATGTTTATACCAAACCTCACACCCCTGCACTGTGGCAGGATTGCCCTTCTCAGTCAAGCTTGCCTCAGTCCCAGTGTGGTTGGCTTATCCCCCAGAAGACCAGTACAAACCCCTGCCCATACCATGTCTCCCAACTAGAGAGTTCTGCAGGGCCTCAGTTCTGGTGCAGGTGGTGTTAGGTCTGATTTCATAAGCAGACCAGAGCATACCTAGTTAAAACTTGCTACATTCTGGCCAAGGACCAAACACTGCCCACAGCAGTGGCCTGAAGGATAGAGAACCCAAAACACAAGAGCAGAGCATATATTGCACACACCAGAGACATTCCATAAAGTGCCAGGCCCTAGACACTATATGACCTCTTCTTCATAAAGCCATTACTTTCAGGAGCAAGTGGCTTTTCTCACACATAGAAGAAGGTAGAGACTCAGACAAAATGCCAAGATGGAGGAATTTATCCCAAATTAAAGAACAGGATAAGGCCACGGCCAGAGATCCTGGCAAAACAGATATAGGTAACATGCTTGATGGAGAATTTAAAACAATCATAAGGGTACTCAATAGACTTGAGAAAAGAATAGAAGACATCAGTGAGACCCTTACCACAGAGGTAAAAGAACTAAGAAAGAATCAGAGATGAAGAATGCAATAAATGAGATTGGAAACAGGCTTGATGCAATGAGCAGTTGGCTGGAAGAAGCAGAGGAATGAATTAGTGACCTAGAAGACAAAATAATGGAAAATAATGAAGGTGAATAAAAGAGAGAAAGAAAAATTACGGAATATGAGAATAGACTTAGGGACCTCAGTGACTCCATCAAGCAATAACATTCGTGATACAGGAGTCTTAGAAGAAGACAGAGAAAAGGGGGCAGGAAATTTATTTGGAGAGGAAAAATCTGAAAACTTGCCTAATCTGGAGAAGGAAACAAACATCCAGATCCAGGAGGCACAAAGAACTACCTTCAAAATCAACAAAAGCAGGCCACACCAAGACATGTTGTAATTAAATTTGTAAAAATGTAAGTGATAAAGGAAAAACTCTTAAAATCAGCAAAACCAAAGAAGTCCTTAACTTAGAAGACCCAAAGGTTAACTGGAGATTTCTCAGCAGAAATTTGGCAGGCCAGAAAGGAGTAGCATGATTTATTCAATGTACTGAATAGGAAAATTCTGTAGCCAAGAATACTATATCCAGTAAGGCTATAATTCAGAATAGAAGAAGTTCCCCAGACAAACAAAAACTGAAGGAGTTCATGACCACTAAACCAGCCCTGCAGGAATATTAAAGGAGTAATTTTGAGTGCAATGGAGAGACCAAAAGTGAAAAGGAAGATCAGAGAAAATCTCCAGAAACAATGACAAAACAAGTAATAAAGTGGCACTAAATATATATCTGTCAATAATTATTTTGAATGTAAATGGACTAAATGCTCCAGTCAAAAGACAAAGGGTATCAGAATGGATACAAAAATAAGACCCATCTATATGCTGCTTATAAGAGACACCTGCAGATTGAAAGTGAGGGATGGAGAAATACTTACCACACAAATGGATGTCAGAAGAAAGGCAGAGTAGCAATACTTCTGTCAGGCAAACTAGACTTTAAAGCAAAGACTGTAGCAAGAGATGAAGAAGGGCACTATATCATGATAAAAGGGACAATCCAATAAGAAGAGGTGTCAATTCTAAATATTTATGCGTCCAACATGAGAGTACCCAAATATATAAAATAATAACATAAAAGAACTAATTGATAATGGTACAGTAATAGCAGGGGACTTTAACACCCCACTTACATCAACGGACGGCTCATCTAAAAAGAAAATAAACAAGGAAACAATGTCTTTGAATGACATACTGGACCAGATGACTTAACATATATTCAGAACATTGCATCCTAAAACAGCATAGTATACATTCAGGTGCCTATGGAACATTCTCCAGAATAGATCACATATTAGGTCACAAATCAGGCCTCAAAAAGTAACCAAAAGATTGAAATCTTACCATGCATCTTTTCTGACCATAACACTGTGAAACTAGAAGTCAACCACATTACAAAATTTGGAAAGGCCATAACGACATGGAAGTTAAATAACATAGTACTAAACAATGAATGGGTAAACCAGGAAATCAAGAAATAAAAAAAATACAGGGACAGAAATGAAAATGTTGTAAACACAGTGGTCCAAAATCTTTGTGAGGCAGCAGGGTGGTCCTAAACGGGAAGTATACGGCAAAACCATCCTACCTCAGGAAGTAAGAAAAATCTCAAATAAACAACCTAATTTTACACCTAAAGGAGCTAGGAAAGAAACAAAAACAAAAGAAAATCAAAGCCAGGAGAAGGAAGGAAGTAATAAAGATTAGAGTAGAAATAAATGATAGAGAAACTAAAACATCAGGAGAACAGATCAAGGAAATCAGGAGTTCATTCTTTGAAAAAATTAATAAAATTGATAATCCTCTAGCCAGACTTACCAAAAAGAAAAGAGAAAGGACCCAAATAAATAAAATCACAAATGAGAGAGGAGAAATAACAACCAACACCACAAAAATACAATTATAAGAGAAGGTTTTGAAAAACTGTATGTCAGCAAATTAGACAACCTGGAAGAAATGGACAAATTCCTAGACACATATAAGCTACTAAAATTAAAACAGGAAGAAATAGAAAACTTGAATAGACTAATAGCCAGCAAAGAAATTAAAACTGTAATCAAAAAAAGTCCCAACAAACACAAGTCTAGGGTCTGGTGGCTTCATAGGCAAATTCCACCAAACATTTAAAGAAGAGTTACCTATTTTTCTCAAACTATTCCAAAAAATAGAAAAGGAAAGAAAACTTCCAAACTTATTTTATGAGATCAGCAATACCCTAATACCAAAACCAGATAAAGACTTCCCTAAAAAAACAAAACAAAACAAAACAAAACTACAGGCAATATCTCTAATAAACATGGACACAAAAATTTTCAGTAAAATATTAGCAAATTTTATCCAGTAGCACATTAAAAGAATCATTCACTATGATCAAGTGAGATTTATTCCTGGATTGCAAGGGTAGTTCATTATTTGCAAATCAATCATCATGATGCACCACATTAATAAAGGATAAGAACCATACGATCATTTCAAAAGATGCAGAAAAAGCATTTGACAAAATACAACATCCTATGGTAAAAAACAAAAACAAAAACAGAAAACCTCAACAAAGTAGGTTAGAGGGAACATACCTCAATATGATAAAGGCCCTGTATGAAAAACCCACAGTTAATACCATCTTCAAAATGAGGGAAAACTGAGAGTTTTTCCTTTCTGGTCAGAAACAAGACAGAGTTGTCTATTCTCACCACTGTTATTTAACACAGTACTGGAAGTTCTAGCAAGCAGTCAGACAACAAAAAGTAATAAAAGGCTACCAAATCAGCAAGAAAAAGTCAAACATTCACTATTTGGAGATGACATGATACTTTATATAGAAAACCCGAAAGATTCCACCAAAAAATTGCTAAACTGATACACAAATTCAGTGAGGTCATAGGATACAGAAATCAATGTACAGAAATCAGTTGCATTTCTATATACCTCAAATGAAGTAGCAGAAAGAGAAATTAAGGAATCAGTCCCATTTACAATTGCACCAAAACCAATAAGATACCTAGGACTAAACCTAACCAAAGAAGTAAAACACCTGTACTCTAAAAACTGTACAACACTGATGAAAGAAATTGGAAAGAAATGGAAAAACATTCTATGCTCATGGATTGAAAGACCAGATACTGTTAAAATGTCTATGCAAAGCATAGTCTATACATTAAATGCAATCAGTATCAAAATATCAACTATTTTTCACAGAGTTGGAACAGACACATGAAAAGATGCCCACATCACTGATCATCAGGGAAATACTACAATATGATAATCAAAACTACAATATGATAATCACCTCACACCTGTCAGAATGGCTAAAATCAACAACACAAGAAACAATAGGAGTTGGTGAAGATGTGGAGAAAGGGGAACCGTCTTGACCTGTTGGTGGGAATGCAAACTGGTACAGCCACTGTGGAAAACAGTATCAAGCTTCCTCAAAAAGTTAAAAATAGAACTACCCTCTAATCCAGCAATTACACTGCTAGGTATTTAGCCAAATACAAAAATACTAACTCAAAGGGATATATGCACCCCAATGTTTATAACAGCATTATCTATAATGGCCAAATTATGGAAACAGCCGAAGTATCCATCGATTGATGAATGGATAAAGAAGATGTTGTATATATACCATGGAATATTACTTAGCCATGAAAAAGAATGAAGTCTTACCATTTGCAAAGACAAGGATAGAGCTAGAGAGTATTAAGCTAAGCGAAGTACAATAAAGACAAATGCTGCATGATTTCACTCATGTGAAATTTAAGAAACAAAACAAATGTGCAAAGGGGAAAAGAGGGAAAGAAAGAGACAAAGCAAGAAACAGACTTTTAACTATAGAGAACAAACTGATAGTTACCGGAGGGGAGGTGGGTTGGAGGGATGGGGGATATAGGTGATGAGTATTAAGGAATGCACTTGTCATGATGAGCACGTGGTGATAGAGAGTTGTTAAGTCATGATACTGTACGCCCAAAACTAATATTGCATTATATGTTAACTAACTGTAATTTAAATAAAAACTTAAAAAAACTTTCAATTAAGTATGAAATTAGTCATTTTTTAGTGCTTAGGGACACCAAGTATTTGAAACTACATTTAAAATTTTAATATTTTTGTATGTTTGTTTGAAGATTTCTTTAGGAGAAGAGACCACTTACAACAAGGAGTTGTGAATTTCATATATGATGATGTGAGTATTCTGATATTTACTCTATGTTCTAGACGTGTTCAGTTGTCAAAAAATTTAAGTGAATCCTGGTATCAGTACTGGGAATAATATGTTTTATAGACCATATTCTTTTTCTGTATTTTTCAGCTAAATGCAAATATGATTCAGTATCTTTATAAATACCAACTTGACTTTATATTAAACATAAAGATACTTTTAAATTTTATGACATGTTTTTGGTAAATCATTTTTTTTTTTTAAGATTTTGTTTGTCAGGGAGAGAGAGGATAAGCAGGGGGAGCAGCATGCAGAGGCAGAGGGAGAAGCAGGCTCCCCACTGAGCAAGGAAACCCATGTGGGACTCAATTCCAGGAGCCTTGAATTATGCATGACCTGAGCCGGTTAGATGCCTAACCACTGAGCCACTGAGGCGTCCCATCTTTCAAATCATTTTTAAGGGCAAAATTACCATTATTTTTAAAAAGAGTAGTTTACTTTTGTACGATACTGAGAAAGAGGAAATATTTATGTATAACAGATAACGACTGTTCATTTCTCATTTCAAGTGGTTGCAATTAGCATCCTCCCATTTTTTTTAAATTGAAACTATAGGAAAATTATATTTCACATGTACATCAATGTTTCAGGGTTTTTGTTTTGTTCTTGTAATAGGGAAGTTATAGGGTCAGGATTTCCCTACTGGTGTATCCCAGTTTACATTACAAGCCTTGGAAGCATTTAAGACTTCCCTTCTTATGAAAATGCTTTTACGGAGTATAATTAATCAAAACCAAAAACATTTTATTGTTACCAGCTGATGATTTTGTTTATATATTAGTTTTTGCAGGGTACTATGGCAATTTGAATGTCTAGAATTCGAAAGCTGAAGAAATACTGTGAATTGTTTTACCTGGAAGAAATGAACTGGACTACTTTGAATTTGAAGCTTTGAGGCTTTTCTGTGTTTCTACCTATTAAATTTGTTCCCTTTCTATGTGTTTTTACTTTAGTGCACAGTTCAAAGCAATAAAAGAAATGTTTTTGTATTTGGAATATTAATTGCTTTTAGAAAAGTTATCACTTAACAGATATATGCATAATATTGTAAAATATTGGTATATGATGAATTGATATAAATACCTTTTAACCTTAATTTTTAACACTGTTAGCCCAGAAGAATGTACTTACAAGAGAGTATATAAGAAGCCAAATAATTAAAGTTTAGATAAAGTTAACGTATACTTACCGGAAGGTTAGAAATTATACTTTGAAATTTTATTCGTAGTCATTTGTTGTGTAGGTGATAGAAGGAGAAGCCTGGATTTTGTGCCATTTTTGTAGAAGAGTTTATTCCTTGATCACATAACTCAAGAACAGAAACTCACTAGTCTTTGTCTATGAAGAGAGAAAGTTCCTAAAATTTTATGTTACATCACTTTAAGTGCACCATAAATTAACCTATAGAAATAAGGCTGCAGGAGGCAATTTTTTTTCTTTGTTTTTATCAGTGCATTTTTTTTTTTTTCGGTATGCTTCTTTGTCTTCTGTGGAAAAAAATTCTTAATAAACATACCTTTTATGGCTGCACTTCTTTTTGTTAGTGACAACATTGCCTAAAATGGCATCTTCCTTTTAAATCTAGACTTTCTGGATATGATATGTATTTTTAACAGAATGTCAACATTTCAATGTATTCCATGAAGCTAAATTGTTTTATATATATAATGCCAACTCTTTACAAAATTAAAAAATCAAGTAATCTACCACTTCGTTTAAGTGTTCAGAAATTGTAAGTTTGACTTTCTCAACTTTGGCTGGGGGTTTATCATTAGCATTCATAAACTGGTAAGTTGTTGTGGTCTGTAATGTGGGGGGTACTGACCACAATAGGCACCACGACCTGTTTCTGTGGCATTATTGTGGAAAACTGCAGAGTGGTCATCAAATCCTTAGCATTTAAGATCCTGGTGTCAGCTATTCTAATTAATCCAGCTGCTTTCCTGGCAAACATTCTAAGTCTTTCTTAGTGAAGATTAAAAAAGTATGTATTTTTCTTACACTTTAACTGAAGGTCTTCCAGCTTAAAATGTGAGTACAAATTGACAAATTGATTTTAAGTGTGGCTGGTGACCAAATTAATTATGCTTTTTATAAAATTCTGTTTCTTAAAGGCTGGAAAGCGAATAGCAGTGTCTTGAAAGAAAACTTTTTACAAACTCACAGAATTTTAAATCAACTTTTACTTTTAACAGTCCTGGAAAGGAAGTATCGGAGAGTCATTTTGACATTATAACTTTATATAATTAGCTGTTAGATTGATTTGGTCAGCAGTATAAAAATGTGTGATGAAATAATCCATATACTTTTGTCCTCTGGCTGTTAAGTTTTTTTCCACGACATATATTTGATAATGTGAGAGGGTATTACCTGAACCATTAAAAAAAAAGTACAGGATTCGAATTAGAAGTCTTGTTGGAAAAAACTAATGTAAACACACTCATATCATTCATGTTGAATAAGGGTGATAAGATGACTTAGCAGCCTGGGATCTTAACATCCAGCTTACAGGTAATCCATTCACTGTACTGTTCTGACCTCTGTTATAGTTTTTCTTACTTCGAGGCTAATGGTTGAGGCAAAACTTTAAAAATGACGTATGGTATTCCTCATATAGGTTTCTGCCAGGTGGCACTTTGTATTAGAACTCTCTATACCATTCTCTGACTCCTCCTCTTCCAAAGGTGTTCCTATGAATTTTGGTCATAGATCTGTGAAGGAGTTTCGATGACCAAACGTATTTAGGAAATTTTCACCCTTTTCAGGGAGCTTGATAAAGCCTAAGGTACATAAAGTCCTGTTTACTTTTATTTACCTAGTTTTTTTCCAAACTTTTTTGACCACAGAACCCTTTTCTCCAGCGAAACTGATTTTCCATGCCAGGCCAGTATACTTGTCAGCCAGTTCTTTTACACTTTATGTTAAATAGGTAATCTTATCAAATATTAGCCATTGAGAATATTTCATTTGGTTTTGTGTACTGAAATGCGATTCACTTTTTGATGCTCTCAAGATAACTGATGTAAACAGACATCCGTTACTAAAGTAAAAATTAAATAGTCTGATGTTGAACAATGACTGGAATCGGAATATAGCATCATAGTTTGTGCTGTTTAACTCACACCCGGTTTTCTTGTAATGATGTAAATTATTGAATAATGTACACTCTTAACATCTAAGTGCTTTTATTTATACAGTAAATGTGTTTCCATGTCATTTTGAGAATTTTTTAATAAACATTCAAATAGCTTGCTGTAAAGTTTTGTATTATACAAAATCTGTTACATATATATGAGATGCTCCAGTTCAAATAACAGTGCAGTAATTCAGCTATGCCTATAAACACCGCCAAATGATTAAATGTCAGGTATTGCCCTTCTATTTTGAGTGGCAGTTTACACATTTTAAATTACATCAAGGGGAAATCAGTACTATTGGAGTCTTAATTTGGTCCACTTTAAGTGTAATTTCAAGGACTGTGCTCATGTGATCTATTTAAGCATGCATTCAGAAACAAAAAGTAATTTAAAAATGTCAAATGATATGTTTATTTCCAGAAAAGGTATTCACCCAAGAAGAAAGTAAAATTTATTAATGTAGTTTAAAGTCTGTGCAATTTTAAGAAATGACCAAAAAATCAATTTGTGATTATTTAAGTAAAATATACAAATCAAGTTCACTTGTACTCTTAGGGCATTACTAAACTGGACAAACTAAATACATAGTATTTGTCAGAAATGTGCTTTTCTTTTGTCCTTTTATGTTTGACAGACTCCTAGATGATATGTTTTCTCTATTTGTAGCAGTTTTCTGGGAACTTAGTAGGAATACATTTGTGCAAGTCTGGTAATTACATTTAGTGAGTAAAAACCCAAGACTTCTTTCAGGTTAGCTTTTTTTTTTTTTTTTTTTGGTCTTGTAAGCACTTTGAAATGAATGTACAATGCTAAGCTATCATCTAAGAGTATGTCTAGACTTTATAACAAAATTAGGTGATGCAAAGATAAAACAAAATACTGAGAACTTCTGTTATAGTGATGAATGCAGAGAGGATTTTAAACGAATACCGTTTAGGTAATTTGTAGTCTAGAATAAGATTATAAATCATATATGTCCATATATTAAGTTAAATTTTTTCCTGTAATTTAGATTACTGAGCACAAAACTACTTTCCAGCAAACCACTAGGATACTTATGAAAAATTTCTGTCTGACTCACTATCAACTCATTACTTGGATGCTGGGAAGTCTGTGCTTTTAATTGTTTCTTGCCATGTCTTTTTCTGCTTGTTTTTTAAAAAAACACGTTTTACTGGCATATGAAGAAAAGAGCCCTAGAGTACCTAACATTCTTTTTAGCCAGGTAGCTTGGTACTATTCAGCATTGTTTATTACTTTGCGAGCATTCAGAACTCAAGTGTGCTTCTGTGTATGTGAATATATAGCAAGTAGACATTGGCAGCACTCCTGCATTGCTATGATGTGCCATACAGTTAGGGGGTGAGGAGGGTCCTTGCCTGTGAGCTACTTGTATTTCCAAGTGTACCCTTTCCATCAGAAATGCTGACCATCTGGCAAGCTTATAGGAAATGACAATTGGGCTCTCTCATTCTTCAATAGCTATACTCAGAGAGAAATCTATTCTTCTGATACATTGTGTGTATGTGTGTTGGGGATGTCCCAATCTTTTCCATTAAGCATGAAAATAAAAATACATACATGCAGTCCTTGGCATTTTAGCTGGCTGTATTTAATCACATTTTATCTTTCTGTCATCACTGAAATTTCAAAGGGTAACCTGAACAGGTATGAGTGTTCCAGAAACATACTAATTAAAGATCCATATTCTTTTGAAAATGATAGGCCATTTAAAAAAATTAAGGATTAGCTGAACTTTTGGATGCATATGTAATTTCCCAAAGCTACCTAAATACATCACCCCCAAATTTATCTTATGGCAAGAGATTTTACGTTTTTAAATAATTAGCTTATTCATACTTTGATTCTCATTTTCTAATCAGCCTCACTTAAAGATACTAGTACAATGCTTTCTGCTAATCTATATTCGATTTGGTTTTTTTATTTATTAAATAGGGAAATGTTCTCTTGGCTTTTTTAAACCTTAAGAAATGGATGGTGGAGAATCTACGCCACTAAATGGACCAAATAGTCTTTAGCTTAGAAAATGCCACATTATGACCCACAAATTTTATTGAAAAGATTTCTCTGAAGATAGTTGGATTTTTTTCTCAAATGATTCTAGGGAGCAAATTAAACGTATGTGAAACTTAGGCAAATGAAAGTGTTATCTGGACATTTTCATCCGTGATGAAAAAAAACCATGCACACATTATACAAAATTCACGTCCCAGGTAATTTGAAGCCTGCTTAGTTACCAGAAATCTTAAGTAATGAAACAATAAATGTTTCAGTAAATTATGTTCTTGCTAACCAATAATAAGAAGTGAAGTGTTTTTATGTTTCTTTAATTTTAGATTTAATGCTTTTTACCATTCAATCCACTTTACTGGCATCCCAGTGGAACTCAGTAAAACTGTAGTAGCACTGTTGCAATTATGTGATTTCATTAAATACATCAGCACCACCATGCCTATATCTAGCACTATACCTAGTAAAATGTTGGAAATAGTTGACTTCTCTAATAAAAGTATTCTAACTAGCTAATGAGATTTACTTTCTTTTTCCCCAAAATAATTTCTTTTACAAATTCTTGAATTTTCATGTATAAATAGATCAGAAATTATATGCTTCGTTCTTAAATTATGTATATATACTATATTTTCAATACAACTTGTACACTTTTAGCTACCAAAAATTTGCAACCATTTTTACATGAAATTTACATTTTTCTTATTTACAGTTATTTGTAGAAGGTTATTGCAAAACTAATTGTGCAAGTAGATTACACTGTCAATACCACATACCAATCTTTGAAGAAAATATTTGCTAAAAAATAAATATTTCTGCAC